TATTTATATTTATATTTATATTTATATTTATTAATAAGCGATTTCCAAGTTTGAAGGAAGAGTGCCCCTAACCCTACCATGGAATAAAGATATAACCCTATAACCAGGTCTCAAAGCTTATAACACACTCCTGCTTTTGACTTTCCAACATCAATGTCTCAAATGAGGGTATAATTGACAAAAATAACAACAAACTTTTCATAAGCTACTTCATGTAACATTTTAATAAGTTAAAGCTAACTTATGTTCATCTAAACGTCTATTTAAAAAAAAAGTTAACTTATATAGCTTATAAGTTAGTTTGTGTTTGCCCAACAATGCTTTAGTTATGAGTCGGAGAAAATTTATCTCTCTATTATTAAGGATAAAATTGACATTTTGTAAATTATAAAAAAAATAATAATGAGACATTTTTAAAATTCTATCTTTTTTCATTATAGAGATTTATTTTAAGACGGATAGAGTAATTTTAGTATTCAATTTTATTTATTTATTATAATAACACTAATCGCTTCGGTTTCTTAAATTATAGTTATAATATATTTAACACACACACATATATATTATTTAACTATAATCATCTTTTGTATATATAATTAATTTAAGGATATCAGTTAAGCATACATTTGTATATGTTCTTTAACTATAATATACAAGGAGATGTTCAATGAAAAGTACTAAATATATGAGAAACATGTAAATCAAATAACATAAACACTAATAGGATCGAATTATCATTATCATGGAAAACATCCATGACTTTAATCTATAAGATGAATAGTAAACTTACTTGTAGGAACACTTGAAATTGTCTTACTTGATGAAGCCGTAATCACTCTTAATAATCTCTTTGATGCCAATCAACTATGATGGAGTTACAATTTTGTTATTGTGTTAAAGTCTCCACAATAAACGGTGCATTCAATTCAATTTAATTCAAGAAGAAAGGAGACGATATGTATATATATATATATATATATATTGACATCAAGAGGATTAAGGAAGAGATAACCACAAAATATAGTTATTTACAGTCGGTTACAGAGACCGGTATCGTCCATCGAGATAATCGGAGGGCCTGTATGTAATTAAGTCATAACCAAGATAATTAAATTAAACATTTATCACTAATATGAGATTAACATAAATAGTCTAGGCCATTAAGATATAGCAATTTTCTAACATTCTCCCACTTGGCCGTATGACCATTTATATAAATAATAAGTTGGCCAAGTGCTAATCTCATTAGTGAAGCATAATTAAAGTAAAAGTATTGAAGCAAAATGATATAATCTTACATGTCACCAACGACATGGGATCCCTATCAATCATACTTTCAGTACTCCTACAAAACAATGATCAAAATTATTAGTGGTTCTCTTGTTTGCTCATTAGAACAATTAGTGTTAACGTATTATTAGAGCAAACATAAGTAACATAATGTAAAAGATAGATAGGTAAGTGCTTACTTTGATATATATAGTTGAACATATCGTGACATCAAGCAAGGCTAACTCTTAAGCCCATATTATTCACATGCTCAATAAATGTCTTAGGCGGTAATCCTTTAGTGAGAGGATCCGCCAACATGTCACTAGTACTAATATATTCCACAATTATGCATTTTTCTTTCACACGTTCTCGAACAAATAGATCCTTAGTGTCAAGATACAATCTGACACCACTTGAGTTGTTGTTATTTGAAAAATTCACCGCAGCACTATTGCCACAATAAAGTTTCAATGGTCTTGAGACGGAGTCAACAATTTTGAGTCTACAAATTAAATTTCTCAATAACATAGCTTGACATGTAGCATGGTAACATGCTACATATTCGGCCATCATGGTCGAAGTAGTGATCAACTCTTGTTTATGACTCCGCCAAGATATTAGACCACCTGAAAACATGAATATGTACCCCGAAGTTGATTTCTTATCATCTTTGCATTTAACAAAGTTGGAATCTGTATACCCTACAACTTCAAGGGAATCAGTTTTTTTATAAGTGAGCATGTATTCTTTTGTTCCCTGTAGGTAACGTAATACTTTCTTGGCTGCTCTCCAATGGTCTAATCCCGGGTTAGATTGATAACGACCAAGCATGCCAGTAATGTATGCTATATCGGGTCGAGTATAGACTTGAGCATACATTAAACTCTTGACAATCAATGCATATGGAATTAGTTTCATTTGATCACGTTCGGCCTCAGAATTAAGGCATTGATATGAGCCAAATTTGTCACCTTTTACAACAGGAGCGACAGAAGGAGCACAATTTTGCATATTATACTTATTGAGAATACGGTTTATATAAGCCTTTTGAGATAAGCCTAATATATTATGCCTTCTATCTCGATGAATTTCAATGCCAATTACATAAGAAGCTTCACCAAGGTCTTTCATATCAAATTTATTTGACAAGAACCGTTTAACCTCAAATAACATGTCTTTATTAGCAACCAATATATCATCGACATACAAGACTAGTATATTGAAATTGCTCCCACTCATCTTGAAGTATATACATTGATCAATTGAGTTCTTTTTGAAGTTGTAATTTTTCAAGACCTCATCAAATTTTAAGTACCATTGCCTTGAAGTCTGCTTAAGCCCATAAATTGACTTGTTAAGTTTACATACTAGATGTTCACTTCCCTTAACCTTAAAACCTTCTGGTTGAGTCATGTAAACATCCTCATATAAGTCGCCATTTAGGAAGATAGTTTTGACATCCATCTGATGCAACTCTAAATCAAAATGAGGTACCAATGCCATAATTATTCTAAAAGACTCCTTTCTCGACACCAGGCGAGAAAGTTTCCTTATAGTTTATCCCTTCCCTTTGAGTAAAACCCTTAGCTACCAAGCTTGCCTTATAACGCTCAACATTTCCTTTAGGGTCTAGTTTGGTTTTATAGACCCACTTACAACCTACAGGTTTTAAGTCCTTAGGTAGTTCTGTAAGTTGCCAAACGTTATTAGTATGCATAGAGTTTATCTCATCATTCATGGCATCAAGCCATTACTTTGAATGAACAGTATTTTTGGCCTCATTAAATGTACTTGGGTCTTCAAATTTTCCCAAGTCATAGTCGACCTCATTTAAGAAAGTGACAAAGTCATTGTAAGTGGTAGGCTTCCAAGATCTTTGTGATCTCCTTAAAGGCTGAGCATCTTCCACAACTTCATTATTAAGGGGAGTATCTTCATGTGATGGTTCAGTCTCAATGTGAGCATCCTCAACTGTATTATTTGATGTTGATGCAATGCTCTCATTGGGAATAGAAATGGGCACAAGTAAAGTAGGAGTTCTATCAGG